GTAAATATTAAAGTCCCAATGTGGTTTTCCCTATAGGTATAACATTTTTCATTCATGCTAACAAAGTATGGAAGTTACAATCAGTAATGTTGTGCAAATTTTATATTGAATGCCGTTTTGTGTGTGTTAATATTTTTGCTAATTAAAAAATAGTTTTCTGCAAGGCAAGTGCTCTACCACTGAGCCACCTTCCCAGCCCCATTTCTTTTTTTTTTTTTTTTTTTGGTATAGTCATGGGGCCTGAACTCTGGGCCTGGGCACTGTCCCTGAGCTCTTCACCTCAAGGCAAGAGCTCTACCACTTGAGCCACAGCACCACTTCCAGTTTTTTCTGTCTATGTGGTGCTGAGGAATCGAACCCAAGCATGCAAGGCACGCCCTCTACCACGGAGCCACCTTCCCAGCTCCTCTTTATTCTCATATTTAACTTTTGTTTACAGTTATATCAAAATTAAGCATAACAAAAATTGTAAAACATGCCAGGCCCTGAGTACCCTTGCTGCTCAGGAGGCTGAGATCTGAGGATCTGGCCCGGCAGAAACATCCATGAGACTCTTGTCTCCAAGAAACCACTCAAAGTGGTGCTGTGGCTCAAGTGGTAGCACGATAGCCTTGAGCTGAAGAGTTAAGGGATGGCGCCCAGGTTCTGAGTTCAAGCCCCAGAGCATAGGAAAAATACTATGAGAGGAAAGCTTGTAAGAGTGGACATCACTTTAGTTACAAAGTGAGAATCATGCTGAGTGCCAGGGGCTCACACACTCAGGAGGTTGAGATCTGAGGATCATGGTTCAAAGCCAGCCTGGGCAGCAAAGTCTGTGAAACTCTTCAGTAAACCATCAGAAAACCAGAAATGGCATTGTGGCTCAAGTGGTAGAGCTGGGGACAGCGCCCAGGCTGAGTTCAAACCCCACGACAGACAAAAAAAATAAAGTGTAGACACATGTGCATGCAAACCCTGGCCCTTCCTAGCTTTCATCTGTGTCTCCATTTGCATGGTCAGCTTGCCCCAGACCAGGGGCTCCAGCCAGCTGATCAGCCAACAGACATGAGGCGCCGCTGTGAGGAAGAAGCCCAGGAGATCGTTCGGCATGCAAATTCCTCCACTGGACAGCCTTGTGTTGAAAACCAAAACCTCACAGACCTGATCTCCAGGCTTACAGCTATTTTACTACAAATTAAGGTAATCTCAGAGAAAGTATTTCATGATTTTGATTAAACAGTTATACTGCTGGGCTCCAGTGGCTCACGCCTGTAATCCTAGCTGTTCAAGAGGCTGAGATCTGAGGATCACGGTTCAAAGCCAGCCAGGGCAGGAAAGTCTGTGAGACTCTGATCTCCAATAAACCACCAGAAAACCAGAAGTGGCGGTGCGACTCAAGTGGTAGAGCGCTGGCTGAGGATTGAAGAAATGAGGGACAGCACCCAGGCGTAGAGTTCAAGCTCTACAACCAACCAACCAACATACATACATACATGAAATAACAAATTAAGATGAAAGTTCTTTGTTTCCATATCTGTAGAGTTTGCTTCAGAATGTATATTATTTTTTCTAATATGAAGAGGTGCTTTGGTATTGCACTTTTATGATTTTCTCCTTAGTCTGTCCTCTTTTGGTCTCTGTGTAATTTGTCATATCCCAGTGTGGTTTAAGTCTTAACACCCGTATATCAGGAAGAACATGCACCGTTTGTCTCTCTGATCTTGGGTTACCTCACATAATACGATTTGTTCTAGTTCCAGCCACTTCCCTGCAAATGACATTATTCTTTCTCATGGCTGCATAAAATTCCATTGTGCATAGGTATCACAGTTGTTGGATCCACGCACCTGTTGTGGGGCATCTGGGCTGTTTCCGTATCTTGGCGGTTGTGAATAGTGCAGCAGTGAACATGGGTGTGCAGGTGTCCTCATATCCTGGCTGTGGTGCTCGGGAAGATGCCCAGGAGTGGTATGGCTGGCCGCAGGGAAGGTCTCTGTTGGGCTTTTTTGAGGAACCTCCAGGCTGCTGTCCAGAGTGGTGGTTTAGTTTACATTCCCACCAGCAGTGCAGCGGGGTTCCTCTTCCCCACATCCCCACCAGCATTTGTTGTTGTTCCAGTTCACAATGTGGCCAATCTAACTGGGGTAAGACGGAATCTCAGGGTCATTTTGATTGGCATTTCCTTCATGACCAAGGAGGGTGAACGTTTCCTTATGTTTCCTTGCCTTTCTTACCTCTTCTGAGCAGTCTCTCCTCAGCTCTCTTGCCCATTTAATGATTGATTTATTAGGATTGGGAGGGGTTCGTTCCTTGAGCTCCTTATATCTATTGGATATTAGGCCTTTGTCTAATGTATTGCTAGTTGGCTGTCTTTCTAGTTTAGTAACTATGTCCTTAGCTGTATGGAAACTTTTTTTTGGTTGGTTGGTCATAGCATTTGAACTCTGGGCCTGAA